ACACACACACACACACACACATATATACATACATGCAATTATGTAGCATTTTAGTGAAATGTGTAGTTTCTATTTTAAACTGTAGCTTTTTAAAAACTTCTGTAAGTGTTAATAAGCCAAATGAGACTGATTAATATTTTTAAAAGGGAATGTGGCCAGTAGTCAGTCATAAACCACATATATTTAGCGCATATGTATGGGTATATAAATAAAAGTAAAAACTAATTAAAAAAACATTTTAGCAAATATTCAGTAAGCTCAGCAATGGGAACATCTCATGGTTTAGTTGAAGCCCATCCTAGATTCATACACATAAACCAGAAGGTTATCACATTCGCTTAGTTGGAATTCTGAAACTGAAGGAACAGTAGCCAAGGGCAATAATTAAAAACGTCTTGGAACATTTTAACATAGAAAACTTATCATCTTATTTACTGCTTCTAATTCTCCCCTTTCCTGAAATCTTTTGGGTACCTTTATCCCTGACAGATAAATAACCCATAAAAGGATGAGTTCACTCTCTCTCTGCTCCCTCACCCCTTTTTTTCTAACACCATATCCATGCAGATGCACAATCCTGACTGGATGAACAATGTAATGATTCCTTTTTGTCTTTTTTTTTTTTATGCTTTCCCCTTTTCCTCAATGAAACAGCTTTGAGAAACAATCCCTCCTTGACCAATCTCTCCCCTGCAATACAGAAATCCAATCCAAATTAATGAGATTTCCATTTTCAAAGCAAAGGACAAACCCTCAGTCTCTTCAAGGACTATGTTAATATGAGTCACACTACGAAAGAAAAGAAAAAGATCTGCATCAATATTTTCTTTATGTTTATTTTTCCCATAGTAGTAATTATTATGCATGCTTCCTAGTAGAATAAAAGAACAGAAAGGGAGAGAGGTGAATGAGGAGGTCTTAAACAAACAGCAATACAAGTGTTCTGAAGATAAGCATGGGGGAAACACACAATAGATTTGAAAAACATCCGGTGTACCGCATTCTACAACACAAGCATCATGATGCATATATCTGAAACTGATATTTCAGATTTTTCTTCTCCTGCCAATACAGCAGCACTACAGATGATGTAAA